ATTTATATAATGTGCATTTTATTCAAATTTGTTGTGCACTTTTTTGATTGTGAATTTTTATGTGCATTGCAATTATATAAACTTTAATAGTTTGTATTTCATTATTTCCAATTTATCAAATATATAAATAAAAAATATTTTACATTGTTTTAATTACTATAAATTATTGTTTTTTAATGTTTTTATTTATTATATTAATACGGAGGGGCCGAACAATATACGATAGGTGTCAACCATTTGACACACAATGTGTTTCATTTTTGGGGCATTTCCTTCTTAGGGGACGTTTAAAGTTCTTAGTTAATTGGGCGATTAACAAAAGTGCAATAGGATGAAGCAAATACCATTATAACCGTCTTGCGTTGCTAATTTTATAAATCACCATATGTTGCGTAAAATTTAATTTATAAACACACATATCTCGTGCCATCTGATGCTGTGAGTTTCTACCGGGACAATTTTCCCAACATCGAACAAGCGAATGTTTGTAAACTGCTCTGTTCAGCACTACATTACCTTAGCCACATTCTTTTCATGATGGCATTGGAGATAGGTCATGCACACACACACGCAAACAAAAGCAGTTAAATTGTTAGAGGTAACTCTTTCGCATCGACCACACTTCATGTACGCCGACAAAAAAGCATCGCACAAGAAGGATACCTTAAGTATTGAACAAACTCTGGTCGTGTGCACGCCACACCCAAAACACCCAACAACTAAACTATTACTAAATAACTGAATCCACAAGAAATATCTAACTACAAATACATAGGACAAAAATATAGAAGTGCAACCACAAATAGGTCTAATGTCACGGGTATCTAGAAAAAACGAAAAAAAAAAGCATTTAATTTTAATGAACAAAACAACTACACCATGAAGAAACAGAAAAAATAGTCCCTTGCAATAATCAACATAATAGCTTTACAAATAAGAAAGTGAAACAGGCTGGACTATCAAACAACAGATGAAGAGATGAAGATTTAAAAATTGAAAAAAAAACTATTACACCAGATAAACATTTCTTTTACAAACAACGAATGGTTTCCACATTTCCGTACATGCTACTGGGCACAAATACAATTACAGGCGCCTCAGCACACGGCATAGACGACAACAGCAAGACAAAAGAGAAGGGCCGCATAAAATGTGGCAACAAAAAAAATACACAACCAACGTAAAACAAAAGTAAACCCAATGGCGCAAAAGTAATAAGGCGCACGAACCGTGTAGATGGGCCTAGCAGCGAAAGCACAAAAAATAGGCACTTGTCAAAAGCACAAGTGTGCCACACCATTGCGCCAACAGGAAACACCAAATAGGAAAAACAAAAGGTGCACAACATTTTTTTTATTCCTTTGCCACACATGTCTGTCGA